AATATTCTAACTCTACAACTTCCACGAGTTTCTTAGTTGATGTGATTCGACTAAGTATAATTCTCGTTATCTGTGTAAGAGTCGAGATAGTTGCTTATGGGACTGTCTTGACTTATGTAGGTGTCTGACGAGCTGTGTCTCAACCACCTACGACTTCTGGTTAATTTGCTTTATCAACCGATTCCAGGTGGGTTTACTTATAAAATTTTCTATGCCATACGTGTTGTTTAATGTTTAGTTGGTATGACCAATGTATGAATGTGAACCATGTGGCCTATCGATGTGAGCTTTTACGGCCGTCGGTGCGGTTGTCCCCGTCGAGTTACGGTACGATTGCCCTTGCGAGGCAAGTATCCTTAAGACCTAATGAAAGGCCGTGTCCGTTACAGTGGCACGCACTCCCGTCGCTAGGGTTTATGCATCCCCTTTCCGCGGCTAATGATAGATGTGCACATGAGTGAGTTATTGTTGTGATTGTTAGGAGATGAGACATGATGATGATTGATTTATATTCATGCTGCGACCATACCATCTTAACATGTTATTATTGTATATGTGCATAGTGGGGAGCACGACGTTTCATTTTGTGCTCATCCCCACCTGCTCTTCACGGATGCAGGTTAAGCAGGCACCGGGTGATGAGGAAGGACGAGTGGGTTGGTTATTGATTATGTTTACTTATGATTCCGCTTATGAATAAATGTGTTAGTCTTTGAAACCTTATTTGGGTTAAGACATGAAAAACGTCTTGAAAATTTCTGTTTGAGTATGTTGGATTTTTGGGATATTTTGATGAACCTGTTTTAAAAATCGGTCATCATGTGTTGGTTATTTCATGCTATGGTGTTGAGCTAAATATCTTATGTTGAAAATCAGGTTAATGAAAACCATGTGAAAACTGGGTAATGAATCCCCGAGCAACCAGATATGACTTGTTTGATGTTAAATGTTTGAATAACGCCCAAGTTTTTGAAAATGAGTTCGAAAAATTATGTACTGATTTTTGGAAAGTCTGGAATTTCTTTGAAATCAAAATGGGGTGTTACAGTTTGGTATCAGAGCCAGTCTGCGTTTCTGTAGATTGCTCTATGTGTGAAATTGCATGTATATGTGATTATGTGATTGTGACCCTTGTGTTCGACCACTCGTCTTCGTCACGCCGCACTGCTTAAGGTAAGTATCAATGAAAATACTTATAATGTGAATTGTGACTTTGCATGAGTAGCAATGAAACAACTTATGAGGTTTTGCATGAGTAGAAATGAGACTACTTATGAAGGGATATATATGTTGTTTTGGGGCTTAGAAAATCTATCCACCTCAGGTTATGTGAACTCTAGTGTTTGACATTGAACTTTAGTGATATAGAGTTAAGTTCAGACTCTAGAGGTTTCTAGTTGTAAGTTTCAGTATTTTATTATTGAGATAAGTGTTGTTTTTTCTCGCTATAAGATTCGTTCATTGTCCTTAGAGTAGGACTATTCGGGACCCATCTCGAAAGAGAAAGGTTAAGTACCGAGTGAATCTCTAGTGTATGAGATCACTCGGGGAATTAGAACTTCAGTCGTTGAGGACCGGGAGTGTCATTTAGATGCCGCGAATGCGTTACTAATCGACCCCCATAGTTTAGGAGAATCTAATGCGTATCACCGTAGTAACTCTTGAGAGTGGCTAAGCCTCGAGAGGGACGATGGTTGATAATTCTCGTACGTTAGATCGAGCGTAAGTCCTGAAGACTGATGCATGGATGAAAGACGACGACGTCGCCCATAGGATGAGTGGATTGCTCCGACATCGCGTGAATATCCTGTGCGTTGGCTGCGAGGCACGCAGTTGTAAAAGATATGAATTTGTAGTTAAGCATGATGATGTGGCTCTATATGACTCGAGATGTTAAAGTTGATGTTATGAAAAGCATGCTTATATGATTGAACTTGACGATTATTGCAGGACCTGGGATTCTTTAAAACGTGTTACGTGGTGATCGTATGAGTTTATGTGAATTTGTGTTAAAATCATGTTAGGACTGACCTCCCTATATCTTATATGTGCGTATTTGAGATATATGTTGTGATTATATGTGACTTGTTGGTGCTCGGTTCATGAGTGTATGATTTGGGTTGGCATTTAATTGAAAATTCCATGTTTTAGCCGCTGGTTGTGCTCAGTTTTTCGTAACCAAGAAGTTGTTTCCTGGATAGGTGTTCATCAAGATAATTATACTATTTTGAATTAGGGTTCATTGTGAGTTGGAATTTCAAAATTTGGAGTTGATTGGAATTTATTATGAATTTTGAAAGTCGAACATGCATGCAGTTTTTATAAAATCCGGGCAGATTTAGTGGTTAAGATGTTGGGCTGCTTTGATGAGCCTATGGTGGCAATATGAAAATGTAATCATCATGAAACTTGTAGAACATGTTATAAGCTTTCGCTGGAAGTAGAAATCTTGCAATTTGGTGATTTAGTTGATTTTATATGATTTTTCAAAGTTGGATCT